TCCCATGTCAAATTGGCCTAGAATACACAACAGGGTTCTGTCAGGACATTTTCAGGTCAAAACGAGGTGGAGGCCCTACTTGCAAAAGTTAGGCCAAATTATTCGTTATTTCTCGAAATTTTTGAGAAATTCCTCAAAAATATCGAAGAATTTCTCGAGGAATTTTTCGCTAAATTTTCGAAAAATTTCTCTAAGTCGTGACACACTGATGACGACTACAATTTTGCAAACCTTTGGGCTCGATCAGAAAAACAATTTGGTATCATAATTTTATTCGAATATATGTACCTCAACACAACGAAAATACATATTTTTCACACATTTTAATGAAAAATACAAATTAGCATTCACTAAAAATAAAAAACCAAAATACAAATCTATACACTCAACTTTGATCTTCTGAACTATATTTATTTCTGAAATTGCGTCACTATAAAAACCTCATAGATAAAGATCGCTCACAACAATTACTCGATACGCGAAAAAAAATACTGAAACGATATTTGAGAAGAAAAATAAAACAGACGTTCCAGTTTCTTTTTTATTAAAAAAAATGGAACTTCGAGTACAAAAATACGAACTTTTTCTCGTCTTAAATCTTGTGACTTGCCAAGATAAAAAAGTAGTAAGGTAGCAGATTTCATTGAAAGATTGTGATCTGCGAGAACCTTTGGGAGATTACAATCTCCAATACTCCGATGGCAAAAATTTCGAAATTTTCGCAAAAAAATGGTTCAAGAAAGAGTGCGAAACTATTAACAGAACAAAAACTATGTGCGAGGAATTCTGAATGAAATTGAGGGTTCGAAGGAAAAGTGGGAGGCAGCGAAAGGAAAAAAACGCATGAAATTAAACTCATCCAGTAATCATAAATAGGCTCTCTAGCTAACCAGAATCGCAAAGTTTTCTTCTTAAAAAATCTTTCCACTTCTTACAAGTAGGATTTGAATTAATAACTACTAGAGTAACGTGTCGACACGAAAATCGATACGACCCGAGTCGACCAGTCGGACTATTCAAGTGGATAAAAATCGTGTCGACTGACACAAGAAACGACACGGTATCGACACGGAGTCGACACGACACGACTCAGTGTCGACTGGTGTCGACACAACCTCGAGACACCGAGTCGAGTCGTGTCGACTCTGTATCGACTCGTGTCCACTCGTGTCGAGTCGACACGACACGTCATTTCAAACGCGCTCTATTGAATAATTTGAACTTATGTCCAATTTTTCGTTAAATTTCTTCTTTTAAATATTAAAGTACTCAACGTGGCCTAACTTTCGCAAATTGAGTTTTCTAGGCCACAAACTTTTTCGGCCTAGAATTAGTCAGATATCCACCTGGTATGTTTTCAGGGTGATTTTTATGCGATGGCCTAGAATGAAAAAGTTAGGCCACCATGTATCATTGGCTCAGAAACGGTATAATATTTGACTGGTACGTTCTCTAGGCCATTTCAGCATAGTGGCCTAGAAAATTCTTCAGTCAAAAGATAGGCCATCATGACGATAAACAATGCGAAACTTCAAAGAATTCAAAAAAAATTGAACTCCCTCCAAAAATTACCGTTCAAAAGAGGGCGTTTGGAATCACGTGTCGTGTCGATTCGTATCGACACGACACGAGTCGATACAGTGTCGACACAAATCGACGTGAGTCTATACGAGTCGACACGACAGTTGAGTCAACACGACACGAGTCGACACGAGGCAACACGAGTCGATACACGTCGAATCTGTGTCGACTCGCGTCGATACGATTTTTCAGATGGTTTTCGCTTGTGTCGATACGACTCTATGCCGACACGTTACTCTAATAACTATATATTCTTATTTTGAAGCCTTATCTCACGCCATATTCGTGAAAATATCAGTTCTTATGGGTACAGAACGTACCAATCTAAAGCCAATCTACACACGGACGATGCAGAAAATTCTTGATGTTTCTTCTCAGAAAAAATACACACAAGAATTGTAAATCATCAATACCAAATCGTTTCTTTGTTCTTTTCTGACTGTGATCTTCAAATATGACCGATACTTCTAATCTGTTTTGCTACCTATGAAAATTCAAAAAAAAAAGGAAATATAAACAATTTTTTCTGTTTTATATGATACAAGTGAATGAAAACAAAATAAGAAACTATTCAAGGTTGAATTTGTTTCCGAGGAAGTGATAACCAAAACAAGAACAACAAAACCAGCAAAATAAGAGACGAAGACACATTCCCTATCCTCTCGAATTTTCTCTGCCAAAAAAAAAAAAAGAAGAAGAAGAAGAACCAACGGATAGCCATTTGAAAAATTGATGATTGACATATGAGGAGAAAAAAAAATGAAAAAAAAAGATGCATGCCTATTGATGACCCTTTACAAAAATTACCAAGAAACAATGAAGCATAAATAGAGACTTTGTTAGGCGGGGCCATGAGAAGAACGGAAAGTGAAAATGAAGGTAACTGTTTAACTTTTTTGTTGAAGATTAAAGAACCTAGACCGAATAATTACTTGTTGCATTCTCAGTGGTCGATGGGATGAATCGAAAGTAGTAATTTTGAAATTACTCTTCGGATGTAAACTCATCCCTACACAGAACTTTTCTGAAAAAATTTGGAATTGCGCGGAATTTTGCTGATGTTATTAGGGAACCCCTAGTTGAACCCCTAGTC